AAAGCTTCCAGAGAAAAATGGTAAGAAAATAATCATTTAGTTTTAGTAAAAAATTGCTTAGAAGGCTCAAGTTAGTTATTAGTATATTAAGAAAGGCAGAATAGGCATCCGCATATTTTTCTGTAGAGAGGTGTTCTGTTCGTCTCAATCGATGAGTTTGTTTCCTCAGCAAGATCTCTAATTTCTTCCTCGAGGATCTTCTCTTTGTTTGGAAAGGAGTTATCCAATGCCAACAGGTTCTGCTCAAGTATCTTGTCTAATTGATGAGGTTTTTCCATTATTATAGTATTCTTCTCCTTCATGTTACTAAACTGTAAGTCATCATTACTCTCTCCACCTTGTATCAACCGCTGCACCCTTTCAAACCCAGCATCTTGTAGAAGATCAACGCAAGATCGTAACTGATCATTCTGAATGATTCCATAATTGGTGGAATCATTTGGATCATATGCTTCTTTCGATTTTACCATCATCATGGCCTTATTCAACTTTTCCCGAATAAGAAAATTTTCCTTCCCTTCAGCTACTTTTAGCCTCTTCATGAGTTTACCAATAACACTGTACTCCATCTTCACCCGAAAATGTCTATCCTCAAATTTGTCAATTTTATTCAATCACTTGAATGCATCGTCAAGAGTCTTTGTTCAAAACTAACATCTATATCAACAACCTATGTTAAATTAGAGTCAATTACATTCAAATAATTCACTAACAATTCCAATTGCGAAATGATTAAAATGAACTAATTGACCAAGAAACTAAAAGGATGGGGAAGAGAAAATGGTTGACGTAATCACAAATAGTTTATTGTACTCCCTTTCACATTTTTTAAAAATCTTAATCATCTTTCCTCCTAAATACCTGAGAATTCAAACGCAAGAATTAAAAATCATCAAAAATTTGATAAAAATGCATAACCGTTGGTCATTTAGTTTCAACAAATTAAAGAAATCACAAAATTAGTTATGTAAATAATAAAACTACCAATAACTATTATTCTTATTAATCAATACATTAAGAAATTCTAATTCATAAGTATAAGTATAATGAATGATGTATTTAATACGGAATAAAAGTCAATTTAGACATTGGAAAAGATCATTTTATACATTTCAAAAGTACGACAGATTCCATCACATAAGTTATAAGCTAGAGCATCATTGTTATATATTCTTCTTCATATCAACAACTTTGATGGACAAGTGGAAAAAAAAAAACTAATTTACAAATCAAAAGGGCATGAACTGTCTGTAAATGATACTATAAAATAAAACAAAGTCGCTACAAGATGGACATAGAAAAACAACTACATCAATCTTTTAGATTGTAATATTTATGTTTTCTCAAATACAGACCACCATGATTAATGTAATTTTCCTTTCTCTGTAATTTCTTCACTTCAAGGTCGAAAAAAAAATAGCTTTGTTGATGGCGGTGAGATGTCTTGATTATCATAATTGATGTTGTCTGCAATACATAGAACCCTTTGTGTTTGTCAGTAGTTTTTTCTGTTCCATCTATTACAGTAGAGGATGCATTGAGGACAAACACAAGTTTATACTTGGACTCAGCAGTGTTTGCCTCTAACTGTGTGACTTTCATGTAGAATATCTTGTCTTCAAATTCCATGGATTCTTCTATGACAGTCACCACGCAAGTTGGAGTAAACTCTAACATCGCTTTTTCCTCTTTTCCATCGTCTATCATTTTTTCAAATCTGAAAAAGTGATAAACCTACCTCACAAATGTGAAAATATCTTCCTGCAAACCAATTAAAAAAATGATTCAGATTCAACCAGAAGGAAATTCAAATTATCATTGTGGATCCAGGTATGAGCTTCATCAATGACATTCGATTTTCTTGCAGGTTTAACAGGTGTTTTCAAACTTGGACAGGTGATTTACTGAACACTTGAATAATGCTATTTTTAACACAAGTTCTTAATTATTTTCAATTGGCTGTAGTCACTCAAGCAAATTTAACACTTCTCAAGCACTCCAAAATTAAATAACATGTAGGTATCTTCTTAAATTCAACACATTTTTAAATAAATGGATTTTTTAGTGTATACTTCAGTGTGTTGAGAATGTGGCGGAACCATTTCATCTATTCTTTTTATATTAGGATTAAGAAGACCTATCGTGTCAACCAAATCAATCACTGATAGTATCCAAAATGGATAAAACTTCCAATCTGTCGTTTTGCATACTCTTGAGAGATTTCCTCAGCCAAATTCTTGCATAAATTTTAAAAACTAAATTAAATCAAGCTACAATAGAACAGATAGAGGTTGGCATTTGAGAATCTTATGTAATTCAAACTAATAAAACAACAGTTTCCAAGAAATAAAGTGATCATGTAAAACAGGAACTCAAGAATCAGCCTAAACTCAAATTACAACATTAGATTGAACGAAAATTCAGTAACATGATAGAAGTGTATTCAAGAACTAATTACAGTAATTATATCAAAACATAAAAGTGTATTGGACAGTTACCTGTGAATTGCAGTATCCTTCAATTCTATTTACCACGTTGATCTATCAATTTATGAAAAAAGGGCAATAGGCAGAGAAATCAAAATCTTCACGAACTCATAAACCCCTGTGATGCTCAGCGTATGATTCTCGAACGGGATGATCGCAATGAAACTGGCCTTGTCGAAATCCTGATGGGCCCCAATAAACTCAAATGGGTTCAGCGGATTGTTATTACTTCCGTCATTTTGCTGTATGTGGAGTCGCGTAGATAGTATTAAAACCTGAAGACATACAAAAACCTCGAAAAACAAAATTTGATTCAAAATACTTACCCATCTGAATACCTATACAACATGCTCGCAGGGCATTTTCCATGCTTTCATCACTGCAAAAAAATGAAATCTCAAAAAACACATCTACATACACATTAATGGCATGATAGTAAACCAATTTGAAATTAACAAAAACTACTGCACGAAGCCATCTAATTTCCCCACCTTCCTTGTGAATTTCAAAGCAGCATCTCCTTGGGTTCTCGAGGTTGACCAGCAAGTTGGGTCCCTCGAGCCCCTTCTCCACCACTTTCGATTCGTAGATTCCACCCCTATCCCTTCTCTAAACCACCGCAAGGTCAAAGAAAAATTGAGGAACTTTTTTAAGAGTAGGAAAGTAGAGAACATATGTGATGGTCAACAAGAATAGTGATTATGTTATCACTGTTCCAGCATTTTTTGAACCTTGTCGTTACTCATTTCCTTTTCATTGGGAAAACAAGAATATTGACGAGCTTTGCCAAGTTTATTATTGACTTCACCTTCAGGGCCAAATTTTGCTCATTATCTGAGGGTAAAAACAGATAATTACGAATGAAAAAATTACCTACAAAACACACTACAAATTAAGTAAAAACATACTTTCAAATGTATTAGACATCGAAAGTATTAAGCTGAATATGTATCTCTAGATTTTTAGATAATACAGTATATAAAAAGCGGAACAAAATTTCCAAGGCAAAAATATTAACATTTTTTTTCATTTTTGAGGACAGTGAATTTACAAAGTGAAGTTATGGAAAATAATTAAGAATAATAAATTTTTTTTTGAAGTGGATA